GAGCGTAGTGAGATCATTTCCCTCCTTATTTAGAAACACGTCACTGTGCTTAGAACGAATGTTTCAATTTGTATTTATTATATGTACCTGTTTCCCCAATACATCATCGCTAAATCCACTTCTTCTGTCATATTGTCGTGACCTTCGAATACACGTAGTGATGGAATGATGTCAGTACGGCACTGTTCCTCAGTCATGTTCAAGCTATCATCGACACCACACGACACCAGAATGGGGTCAGGAATCTTGTCGTAGGAGAATATCCAGTCATCAATCGTGGCTGCTAAATAAGGAGTCAATTGTTTAAAAAATGTGTATAGAATGGTTAAACCTGCTCTATTTAGTCCCATAAAACCATAGAATTGAAAAGAGATCTCAAATTTATGTAAGGTATTACCGGGATTGTAATAAATTTAGCACATGATCGATTTTGCAGCTAAAAAGCAGGCCGGTTAGTGATTTTTCTAGTTCCCGGAGTAAATAACTGGGTATTCCAAAAAAATCGTGTCTATATTCGATCACTAATATCTCTTCATTTCTAAGTGTTTTCCGGATCATAATGATTTTTGAAAGATAAGCTTAGAAATACATTTACTTACAAGCGCCTTATCCTTTGAGAATTACGTTAAGATGATGGTGTGCATTCGTCGCTGCCTTAACGTTGATATTAAGAATTTGCCGTAAATTTCTTGCAGAACATTGCGGCACTATAGTGGTGTCTCTAACTTTAACCTACTGAGATTTTATAATTTTGTTTACGCCACGTTCGCAGCTATCTATAACCATGCCCGGCCCAATCTTAGTAGTACCTCAGGCCAGGGCTGAAGTTACCTACAACTTTGCACCATAATTCTACCGTAATAGAGAGAGAAGAGCGGTTCCTCCTTGGAATTCTAAGTTTAAGCTCATATTCTAGCTCAGTCAGTAAGGGCGGAAGCATGTTGAATAAACGATATCATCAATTAATCAGTGGGCACATTTTTAGGACACCTCGTATATCTAAATATGGCCGTACTCC